TATTTATATATAATGTTTAGGTATGAAGGATTTCCAAGAGAGTACATATTTATCTACTGTCTATCAAGTCTAATTGTTGGCAGTATGATGGGTTCGAAAACACAGCGTTCCTTGTTTGCACTGATTGGGTCTGCTATCTACATGGTACATTGCATCCTAACCCAGACAGCACATATAGATATGAATGAATGGCTAAGAGTAAGTTGATACCAATATTTTGTGTTATGTACAAAGAGAATATAATTATGAGGTCTGTTTTCCTATGTAAAGCTAGCTATTACCTAGATCCCCGGTATTTAACTCCAGGCGCACCAAAGATTTTGATTGCTAGAAAATAAATCATTTTTCCAGTCGATTTTCCGTTGAAGATGCAAAAGAATGGACTTTTCCAGAGTGTCAGTCGAACTTAACAACTGACCAATCAGAAACGGGCCAGGAATTAGTCGTGTCTCACAAATGCATGTGTTGTCCAATGTTGATGCTGAAAAGTACCATCAATCTTAGAAACCAAGGCTGGGCCTAATTATAATAGGCCTGTATTATAAAATTTGTAGGCCTATAAAAGGGAATGGGTACACAATTACGTTGGTGCACCGCTGGTCTCAACAAATTGCAACTGGCTACCAGCTTAAACAGGTTGAATACCTGGGACCTAGATAATACATACTGTACAAGAGGCAGGCTAATAATAAAAGTGGTAAAATTATTAGTCATAAATCTTTAAACGTTGAAAATGTTTTTATTTTGGATTCACAGGCTCGTCTTATATCCCGTGACACTGCCCTCATTGGCTGTAACTTTGTCCTTGCTAGCCGTGCCCATGAAAATCTGATACGCAAATATCGTCTACGGAACCTCTTCCCTACTGGTTGCCAAATTCTTGCCCTCCACATTATGTTCTACATAGCTCTACTTTTTTACAGTCCCGAGGATAAGAAGGCATTTCTATCGCACATATTACTAGGCAATATTCTATTACCATTGTATATGTGCATCGGAGTGACGAGTGCGATATTACAGATGTCGAATATTAAAGTATCAACTACATCGATGATAATCATCGTCCTGCATATAATCTTGCTATTTTGCATTGACTGTGACTTCAAGTACTGGACGTCTCGTAAAGTTGAATATTGGACACAAGTTGAGATTGTTGCCAAAGATTGTGCCATTCTTGGTGGCCTGTTGTTGATAAATTATACGTCAATCTTGAAGAAAAGGTCATAGTGTTGGGGATCTCATGTGTTGAAATTAGCAGGGTATTTTTCACCAGTGGAGTTGCGGGTCCTAGATTCAATTTCTGTCACGATAACAGGATTTAATCTCATGACTAAATGAATTTCCATGCCCTAAAGCTTTGTAAGAAGATTTAGTTTATAAAGCATCACATTAATTCCTTATTTAAGAGGCCCCTTAAATATCACCTGGCCTTCTAAAGAGAAGAAAAAATAGATACATTTCTTTTCTTTTTAAGTGAAGCTTGCTTTCCATTGAACCGCTCACCCTATTGGTGACAGTTGCCGACAGTTGTAGAGAAGGTTGAAACTGGTTCAACTTCGACGATTGCGTTGCAGACAAATCGGGGTGCCTTCCCGATTGCGTCAGGGCAGATAGCAATGCACCCTGATGCATCTGCAACCAGGTTCAACCTTTCTGACAATTGTTGGCGGCTGTCACTGATAGGGTGAGCGATTCTATGGAAACCAAGATTTAGGCCAATATCTTTCATCACAAGCAAAAGGTAGAATTGAAAAATATGAACTATTATTTTTTAATATTGCCTTTAAATTATGGTAACATTTTGTATTATTATTATGTTAAATTTCTATGAGTTTTTTTTTATTGTTTTAAAGATAATTAACTTAATTTGTATTAAATATAAATTAAAATTTTCAATTGAAATATTGACTTTTATGTGATATTAATATCTGAGCTACAACTGAACCAAGAGATCAATGGTGTAGAAGGAAAAAATTGTTAACATATTAGTAATAGTTGCAATAACAAAAGAAAATTGATTTAACTCAATATACTCTATTGCTTTCTCTTACACCCATCT